ACAAAAAATGACTTACGAGCTCTTTCAATATCTTCATTGGAACAGCAATCGTGAGAATGGTCTACATAACAGCATTAGTACAAGGGTGTCTATTTACCCGTATTTGACATCAGGTTGCAATGGAAGGTATTTTTGGCGACATCACGTCATCATACAGTAAAGGAGCCTTTTAGTGTATCTTATGTCCAGACTGGAGAAATTTTTTTTCGAATTCGACAGGGTAAAAGTTTTGGATCCTTTCGAATAACATGTTACATGAAAGGAATCAATTCAAGAAATACAAAAGTGACGACTAATCACCTTATAACCCATTGAGTCTAATTTCCGGCTCTTTTGACGCAACTAAAAGAATGATGATGTCCGAGTCTCCCGTTAGGTCACTGAGCGCTAGTGTCTCCTCCGAGCGTCTGTAAATGAGAAAACTAATATTATCGACAGGAAAATATATTCAAAATGTATTGCTTTATTAGACGGTGTCATAACTTGAATTAAAAGTTGGAAACGGCTTTGATATTTCTACGAATTTGTTATGCTCAAACCTTAAATCTATCTTCATATTTTCTTCAAATCAAAACACAAAGATTGATAATGTTACAAGAATAAGGAACAGAAAAAGGCGAAATGATACGTGAAGGCTATTTTTTACTCATGCTGGTGAACATTTACGAAGTCTCAAAATAAAAATGATTACAACAAGCCAGACTTCTTACCTTCTTGATCTGTGAGAATTTCATCCACGTCCACGTCCTCTATTTCCCGTGCATCCAGCTGTTCTGACTGTTCATTCAGTGCCTCCAGAAGCGCCCTCGCCTCTTCCACAACCTCCCTCAACTCTGCGATAAACGGAAAGACAGGTGTGAAACACATGTCACAGGTTTAAGTTAATAGGGTACAAATCCATTCTCAGTGATTTCGATTGTCGAAATAAAAGATTTGGACGACCTCTTGACACCCCCGTGTCCTTGAAATTGGCACGTTTATGGCTTTAGCTGTTGTTTAAGAGTATGCCGAGTTTGATCATTCAGAATGGGGTTACAAACATAGGGGTACTCGTTGCCCCCCCCCCCCCCAAACGACTAGGCTTTTGTAAACGCAGGCCCACGATCTTCAATCTTATCTTCAATCATGTAAGCATAATCATTCTTTTCCCTGAGGCAGGTGCAGTCAGAGACAAAAAAGAGATGTATTATCTCCCGGACGACCAACTACGGACTGACAATGGGCGCTGTCGTCACTCAAGAAATATCTTAAGGGGCCAAGGGATCATCATTATCGTCACCTTCCATCGCACAAAACGTGCAGCCAGGAACAAATAAGCGGCGAAAAATCTCGACAACCTGATGTGAAAGGAAATCACAATTTTTACTCACTCACTCACTCACTCACTCACTCACTCACTCACACACACACACACACACACACACACACACAACACTNGTTCATTCAGTACCTCCAGAAGCGCCCTCGCCTCTTCCACAACCTCCCTCAACTCTGCGACAAACGGAAAGACAGGTGTGAAACACATGTCACAGGTTTTAGTTTATAGGGTACAAATCCATTCTCAGTGATTTCGATTGTCGAAATAAAGGATTTGGACGACCTCTTGACACCCCGTGTCCTTGAAATTGGTGCGTTTATGGCTTAAGCTGTTGTTTAAGAGTATGCCGAGTTTGATCATTCAGAAATGGGGTTAAAAACATAGGGGTATGTTGCCCCCCCCCCCCAAAAAGACTAGGCTTTCGTAAACGCAGGCCCACGATCTTCAATCTTATCTTCAATCATGTAAGCATAATCAAAAAAAAGAGATGTATTATCTCCCGGACGACCAATTACGGACTGACAATGGGCGCTGTCGTCACTCAAGAAATATCTTAAGGGGCCAAGGGATCATCATTATCGTCACCTTCCATCGCACAAAACGTGCAGCCAGGAACAAATAAGCGGCGAAAAATCTCGACAACCTGATGTGAAAGGAAATCACAATTTTTACTCACCCACTCACTCACACACTCACTCACTCACTCACACACTCTCACTCACTCACTCACTCACTCACTCACCCACTCACACACACACACACACACACACACACACACACACAAACACAAACACAAAAACTCATTCACACATATGCTCACGCGCTCACTCGCTCACTCACTCTCTCTCCCACTCACTCACTCACACTCACTCACTCACTCACTCACTCACTCACTCACTCACTCACTCAGTCTCTCATAGCTCGTCAGCCGTAGGTAATAGTAGGGATGTTATCAGGATAGAAGGATCTAGATCAACCATGCTTTTCAGTTCGTTAAATGTTGTCTACGTATTAACACCTGTGGTTTCGGCTCTCCGTGAACCACTGTAATAGAGGGAGTACTAGTCTAAGTTGATGCTTTGCCCATGTCACCCTCCGTGTTACCGGCAGGGATGACATCGATAGAGATGACATAGATACGTAACAAGCAACCGTTTTCCCTAAGCAATATGGCAATTTTATCTCACATGTCAGATATCAATATGCTACGGAATATGTAAGTATAAATTTTGATAGTGACTCAGAGTTCGTTAATTTAACGTTGTCTGCTGTAATGTTGATATGAGCGAGGAAGACAACTGTGAGAATAAGACAATTTGTGAAAAAATTGTCTGCCAATAGCAGGTATGTGTGACATAGATAGTAGAAAGAGAAGACAACTTTGGGAACAGTACACTCAAACGTTTTAAGACCTGCATATGAAGAAAATCAGCCAATTTTATTGATTTGGTTGTGTTTCTACTTATGACTTCAGGTTGAATTGAATTAATTATGGTAGCCGGGGTGACACCTGATCTACTATTTTATCTCCTTTATTTCGATGTCCCCTAGCCCAAAAGCCTAATCTTTCAAGACTCATACAGAAATATAAAAACATATAGAACAGACAGCATCATGGTAAAAATACACATTCAGCACCAACAATTACATCTTGTACAAATGAAAGTAATATTATCTATATATTAGTTAGAGAACATTATATGAACAACTGGCAGGTGGCTTTCATTTAAGGTGGATCTAATGGAAAGTGCTTTGACGTGCTGTGGTAGTTTACCCGGTAAACTACCGGTACTCAAAACTGAAATGTGCTATATGGGCCTCCTTGCACTCACTGGCCCGAGCAAATCGGCTACAGAACTGAATGTTGTGTGAGTAGGGTCACCGCTGGAAAAAATTGAAACAAAGGAGTTCAGAGATTTCTTACCCCTATGAAACATTTGGAGCTTCTGTATTCTTACCCCTATGAAACATTCTGTATATTTTTATGGAAGCAAGTATGCATTTACCCGTGTGCGTGGATGGTGTTCAGCACCAAGGACAGACATGTGTGGATGGTTCTTAGCAAAAGAGACATGTTGAATTGCCGACGTCGGGCACCTCCATGGTCAGCCATAATCTATTCCGGTTGGTTTGATGAGGGTATTGAAAGTATTTTTCACAGTAATAATGTTCCTTTTTCTTTTAGTGTGTAACTAGTGGGTGGTAGTAACTGGGTACTTAGTAAACTGTTAAGTATGGCAGACATCTTTAGCTAAAAATTATCTTTAGAAAAATAACACTCTTTCCTGACTTAAGTTACATTCTAAAAGTACATAATATTGTTTAAACACAGGTTCTAGATCATTTGCAGATTCAGCAATTAAAAACAGGGCTTAGTTCGTAAGTCTTAAAGACAAAAAGACAAAAAAGTATAACCAACCGACACAGGTGTAAGAGCCTCCGAGACTTTGGCATTCCAAACCGAACAGACAAGGATCCGGGTCACAGAAGCTTTCTGTAGTAACAATAAATGGGAACATCATGGTATATTAAAACGTTCCGCATGGTGGTATTACATTGTACAAAATTGGCAACTAAGGTATTGTTCTGATGTCTGCTATGATATTTCAATCAGGTCAGGTACACCATGTGCCCTAAAAATGTATCTAAACAGATCTCTAATGTAACGTCCCCAGGTAAGGTTAAGAGACAGGAAAGTATTTTTTCTAAAATCGCCAAACCTGATTTTAAGCAAGAAATTACAACAAATCACATTTTTTGTTGTGATTGTTAATATATAGGTATAGGTTATTTGCATAATTAATGAGGACATGTTTAAATGAAGTATGACAAAGCAAGTCCATATTTCATGGAGGTATGAGATTTCAGAACTCTTGTCTCTTGAAAGTTTTGGTCCATTTTGGAGATTTTGGGCCTGGAAGGCACGGGCAGGGTCTAAACTTTCCTACTTTGGTCAAGTTTTGTTTATTTCACCAGTTTAGTGGGCGTAATGAGAGATGTGAGTGGTTAGGTCTTGTTTGGCCAGGCGTAAGGATACCATGGGAAATTAGGTCAAAGTTGAGGTTTTGTTACTATCATCANAATAGAACCTATGCATCTTGCTTGTTGCTGTCAACTTACCCGTTAAAGATTCAACCGATACATGTACGTACTATAACTTGCCATACCCGGCCAAAGACGACTACATTACTGTTACTCTTTATTTTGTGCTGTACAATGTATATGCGTTACATTATCTATCATTGTCATTTCTGTGAATTCCTTAAAACATCTACTGTTAGTTTGTGTAACATTACGTAGTGCTACAATCTGCGCAAAAAGTGGGCTTCATTACGTGTTATCTGCTAAGTCGTGTTGGTATTGAAAACTGTTTTATTCCGCCGTTCTTCTACAAACAGCCAGCAGAATTATGAAGATACTCGTTCTCAATACACATGCTGCAAACTAAAGTAATGGCGGTCCTACAAAAATTCTGTTTGTAATGTATAAGCGCTTTATGTCGACGTACAATGGGTGTGAAATACATGTTTTCGCAAATCGTGTGCCACCGGCTCGGTGGTAATTGGCTACTTTACAATTGTGAAAGAACCGCGTCCGTGGGCCTTGATAAATTATTCAAATTATTCAGCAGCCCTCTGATTGGTCCCCGCTAGAAATTTACTGGATGTCATTCAGTGACGAGCCCCCTCCCCCTTGTCCGGCTGGCATCGCAGCAAAATAACAAAGCAGCATGAACAGCCTTTGCCTCCGGTAAGTGCAAAAGTACATTTTAGTAAAATGATTACTGTATTTAAAAGTATTAAAAACAAAACAAAACTAGATTCAGTTACCTTTCCTGTCTTGTTGTTCTTGATGTCTTCGCTAGAAACAATAGAATGTCTCCAACTAACTTCCCCGGCCCCCTAGCCCCTCCCTCATTTATAGATTATTAGATAGTGTATATATATATATAGTATAATATTACAAGGTCTTGTAATATATGTATATATATATATAGTATAATATTACAAGGTCTTGTACTACTACTTCCCAACGATCAGTAGGCATTTCTGTACAGTAAGTACATGACTTTTGTGTATTGAAAAGAGCTGTGAAAAAATGTGAAATATTTGTCCTATGATAATTTGTGGCTACTGTACTGGCTAGTGAACTAGAAGTAGAATAAGATCAATAAATAAATGAATACAAAAGAAGCAGTATTGTTAAGTAAAACCCCCCCAATGCAAAATGATTGTATTTAGTTACAGCTGATTCGTCAAGACTTGTATATTGCGGATGCCTCAGGTTAGTCTTCTGACAAATGTAAATAATGTGATACAGTTTGTCACCTGTGTAATTTTTTCCCTTTTACATACCTCCAGGATGTACTACTATGGCAGATGCAGCAGAAGTTGTAAGGACAGTCTAGATGAAAGGCACGCAACTGCCAGAAGTTCTGAGTCTTCGAGTACCTGACTGCTGCTACAGGCTCCTTAGGTAAGACTACACCCCTGCATACTCCTCAGTATCACCCGACTTTAGTAATAATGTGTTCCTAAACAAATATCATGGTCAGGTCTGAATGTGTACCTGAGCTGAAGAGTGCCAATGTTGATGATTAGTGCCGTGTGTCTTTAAAATTCAGCACAGATATAGTAAAATTCTTTAGGTACAAGTCCAAAATTCTGGACCGCTAATATGCGGGGAATGGAAATAATTAGACCTTAAAGAACCTACCAGTAGTACACATGTCAATGATGTCATTGTCTTTATTAAAGTTCAACCATTATGTGAACAAGGAGTTCAAGTACATGTCTGGACCTGTACCTAATTTAAAGCTGAGTACCTGCACCTAAAATTGTGTAACTAAACATGATCTGCTGATGATGTTTGGTTTAGATTGTATACATGTATGTTTGTAAATGCTATCTTGAAGTAAGTTAGTGCTTTTGTAAGTTGCACCGTAAATAATCATGTGACATGTTTCTCAGTGATGTGAATCAATGTTTAATGATACTTTTGTNATGTTTGGTTTAGATTGTATACATGTATGTTTGTAAATGCTATCTTGAAGTAAGTTAGTGCTTTTGTAAGTTGCACCGTAAATAATCATGTGACATGTTTCTCAGTGATGTGAATCAATGTTTAATGATACTTTTGTTCAATCATACAGGAACTGACTCCGAAGAAGGACTCCAAATCAACACCAAGACATCCAACATGCAAACACAGAACAGACAGCCTTACCCAGAGTGCATGGCAGCAGTGGAGTCAGATGTGGATAGGATTGTTTATACATGAGCAGTTCTACAACATATTTCCCAAAAGTTAACATTGTGGTGTGCCATGTGCCTCAGGTGGTCAGTATTGATACATGTAGAGACCATAGGTTACTGTATTTTCCCTTATTTTGACAAACATTTAGATTTGTTTTTGTGTCTGATGGTTGTCAGATGATTCGACACAAGCTATTAAGGTCTTATTACTATATTAGCCATACCAGAATGTGTACTGTAAATGTATTCCAGTTCCAATCTCCAGTGATGTAATATGATGACAATGATACATTTTACATTGTGTCGCCAAAAAGTCACTGATATTGTGGAAAAAGAGCAAAACAATGCAAGGCTTTGTAAGCTCCACTGAATGTCAACCCATATACAAAATGTATCACAAGCCAGTTTTGTAATTTCCTTGTTATGTCAGTGTTTCTTTGAATAGTTTTCAAGCTTTTTATCATGTGGGATATAATGACATGTTAAGGGTGACAAGTTGGTATGGATTTTCCATAGAACATATGACAACTTTTCCTGGTACATGTTAAACCAAATGTATAGTTTCTCAAAGGCTGTGTGTTAGTACAGAATTATAATATTAATAATATATTTAGATTGTGTCTGCTGATATTCTGTGTGTTCATGAGAAATGCTGCTTGTATTTATTATTATTATTATGTTGTATGTGTATGTATATGTCTTTGAGTGTTGTTAGTACAACACAGGTGGTCATTGATCATTTGAACATTATAAGAAAAAAGTAGCATAACTTGTACGTATAACTTTACTTACTTGTATGTAATGCTTATTTGCATACCTTTTAGAAAAGGTAACTGCCAATTTATGTTTAATTTTTATGCTTTTTAAATAAATATTTCTGAGTTCTGCCCAGAACCCATTTCCTGTGCTTGTATGTAATTCAGGGGAGTGATACAACGTAATTAAGGAAATATGGGTAAAGGGGGGTAAATATGGCAAGTCGTTCTGGTAAGGGCATGTACGCGTAAATACGGGTAAATTCAACTAAATGTCAGAAATACCATGCTCGGTAAATCTCGGTAAATACCTGAAATGAGAAATACCCCATATGGTGAATCTCGGTAAATGCCTGAAATGCATGTGAAAAATACCCCATATGGTAAATCTCGGTAAATATATGTGAGAAATACCGCGCACGTTAAATCTCGCTAAATACGTATTTACACGAAACCGGTAAATGTGGGTAAATAAGGCAAACATTACCACCTATACCATGCAGGTAAATACCGGGTAAATTTGCACATTTACCGACGGGTAAATGTTGGTAAATCACTGGTAAATGTAACCTTTACCCGGCTTTACATCACATTTACCTTGGTGGTAAATCCCACTTTTCGTGCAGTGATAGGTGTTTAGAGTTTTAAGGGCCGTCTTAAGGTAGGGTTAGGGTTAGGGCACCGGACGTACCAGAAGGTCAAGTTTGGTTTCGATTGAAAGGTAATGGCCCCAGTATTAAGAGTCCCAGACTGTTTGCATTTATCACCTATGGTTTTGGATTTATAAGTGTTTGAAGTTTTAAGGGCCGCCTTAAGGTAGGGTTAGGGTTAGGGTAACGGGAAGTACCAGAAGGTCAAGTTTGGTGTCGATTGAAAGGTAATGGCCTAAGTATTAAAGAGTCCCAGACTGTTATGCATTTATCACCTATGGTTTTGGATTTATAAGTGTTTGAAGTTTTAAGGGCCGTCTTAAGGTAGGGTTAGGGTTAGGGCAACCGGACGTACCAGAAGGTTAAGTTTGGTGTCCATTGAAAGGTAATGGCCCTAGTATTAAAGGTCTGCAAATTGTTTGCATTTATCACCTTTGGTTTTGGATTTATAAGTGTTTGAAGTTTTAAGGGCCGTCTTAAGGTAGGGTTAGGGTTCGGGCAACCGGACGTACCAGAAGGCCAAGTTTGGTGTCGATTGAAAGGTAATGGCCCCAGTATTAAAGGTCCGCAAACCTTTTGCATTTATTACCTTTGGTTTGCGATTTATAAGTTTTTGAAGTTTTAAGGGCCGCCTTAAGGTAGGGTTAGGGTTAGGGCAACCGGACGTACGAGAAAGTCAAGTTTGGTGTCGTTTTAAAGGTAATGGCCCCAGTATTAAAGGTCCGCAAACCGTTTGCGTTTATCACCTATGGTTTGGGATTTATGAGTTTTAAGCTTTATTTCCCCCCTTCTTGTTTGCATTTTTGTACATGGTGCTTTGGCTTTGTGAGGTTTTTTTTTGGACTGTTTGTATTTTGTGCGCCTTCAAAATTTCCAGTGTGCTTCGGCCGGTCTTTCAGCTCAGCTGAATTAACAAACTGCAGTTCTCGACCTTCGTCCTTCTGCGTATGGTCTTTAGACGAAGAAAGGGAGTCAAGGGAGCAGATATTAGTCTTTTTTTTCATTCAACATATATGAAACAAAGACAGAGTGGCGCAGCACTCAAGTAACACTACTAATATTAACTGCGCCACTTAACATATAAATATATTTACATAAAGGACAAACAAAATAACATTAACAACAATGTTGACCATGGCATAGATGATGAAAACGACTGGTGTGTGCACCAAGATATTAGTCTCATATCTCACATACAGATATTAGTCTCGCCTGGGCACCAGTTGTTAGTAGCCGTCTCGTCTTGCCCAACTCGCCTTGCCTAGTTTCTGAGCAAGTAGTCACCGCAGAAAACCCACGGGCCGCACATTTTATGCCACAGCAGAGTCGGGACACAGCGGATCTGAGTCGGGAGGGGTGTAAATCGGTCCGGTCCATTACTCTCTTGCACGCAGACTATCACTGGCCTATGCCCGCATCCTGGCTCCCAAGATCCTGGCTACCGGCTTTCCAAAGAACGAGGCATAGAGTCTGACTGAAGTTCACAATATTCTCAATCAACCTCTGCCTAGAGTGTAGTCTTGTCCCAGTTTGTCTTGCCAATGTCCCACGTCGTTATTGTCTTGAAGACTGCTCCAATTTACGTAGAATTATGCGACATGGATATTCCTCAGTGTTGATGATGAGATAGGACACAATCTCTCACCATGGAGCTCTCTCACCATACCTCCATTCTTACTAAGTTCCTAGCGTGTTGCTTGTGTCCAGGATAGTTGTAGAATGACGTTCCAGAACCAGGCATGTAAACGGTTGATTTAAAAAATAACGACTCGAGCATTGATTGGCCCCCTTTCAGAACACATACAAAGAGAAATGCAGGCAATTGGCTGGTATGGTTTACAGGTCACTGCAAGAATAATGCCACAAAGAGTTGTGAAATTACCCGCTTGTCTAATTGGGTAAAAAGTTGCATGCACATTAGGATTATCTTATGCCAAAATACTCTAAAATGTTTCCATCAACCGTAGAACGTCCTTGCATCAACACATAATTTGCAGTTTACCTGTGTAATGTTTTCAACTTCGTGTTCTTCATGTTCCAGAAAATGACATATACCCAAGGAAGTTAAACCTGCCTTATAAAAACAAACAAACAAGGTAAATAAGACATAGGCGCCGTCTCGTCGTCTCGCCGATACATCTGTTGTCCTCTCGGTCTATTACCTTGGCCCCGTCCCAATCTATTACACAGTTATTTCTTGTAATGTGGTCTGTGACTGCTGACTTGTTCTCTTGTTTTTCAGCTTCTTTCTTTCTTGCTCTGGTGTACCTTCCCGTCTTGACGCTGTCTGCCTCTTTCCTATGTTCTTCTAGTCTGCATCCAAATCTTCTTCCTGTCTCCCCTATGTAAACCTTCTTGCAAGTCATACATGGTATCTTGTAAATGCAATCTGTTTTAACTGTGTCTTCAAGTTTGTTTTTGGGATGTACTAGTAGGTTTCCTAAGGTAGTTTTGGGTCTGACTGCTGCAGCTATGCTGTGTTTCTTGAATATTCTTTCCAGTGGTTCTGTGACTCCTTTTATATAGGGTAGAGTCACCCTACCTTTAGACTTCTCCTCCTGTTTCTTTTTGTCTTTCTTCTGTTTGGGTCTGCTTTTTGATGTTCTACTTTTCTAAATGTCCAGTCTGGATAGTTACATCGGGCGAGGGCCTGTATTATGTGTTGTATCTTCTGCTGTCTATCTGATTCGTCCGTTACTACTGCATTGCATCTGTCCATCAGTGTCCGGATAACTCCTAGTTTCTGGTGAAGGGGGTGGTGTGAGTTGAAATTTAGGTATTGGTCAGTATGTGTCTTCTTTCTGTAAATCAACAGTTTCACTGTGCCGTCTTCCTTTTTCACGAGCAAAGTATCAAGAAAAGGCATGGCGCCGTTCTCTTCTACTTCGTGGGTAAATTTGATGCTACCTGTGGTGTCAATAGTGTTTAGTGGACAAGCCGAGCACGTTTCTGGAGGCCGCACAGCTTGTCTTTACTATGTATTGCTGTCTACACATCGTCGGCGAGCCAATCTCCATCGGGCGACTAGATCAACTGCTGGGTCCGTTTTACTCTCAGGGTGGGCTGACTATGGAGGAAGCGCAGGAAGTCATCGACTGTTTCTGGATCAAGGTTGGCGAGAGAACCCTTTTGAACAGTCACGCAGCACAGGATAAAATCTTCCCCGGAATGTGTGCCGTTCCCTACACAAGCAGCGGCAACTTTCCGCAGGGTGGCTGCATGAACCAGTGGGGACAGCAGCTCACCATCGGCGGACACCTGCCAAACGACGAATTGGTCCCAACGACTGCCTGCAACGAAGTCAGCCTCATGTGCCTCAGAGCTGCCAGGCGTCTTCCCCTGAACGCCCCATGCCTGACGTTACGAGTTCATCGCGGCATATCCCAAGAGGTGCTGGAGGAGGCCGCCAAGTCTCTACTAAGCGGAGGAGCTCACCCGGTTCTACTGCATGACGACAGGCTGGTTCCAGCCCTGCAGGAGTCCTGGCGGAGGGGGACAGCCGTCCGCCTGGAAGATGCCAGGAACTACGCATGTGATGGATGTTTCGAGCCTGTGTTCGTAGGTGGCTCCGAGTTCGCTTTCGCCACCTTTCCACTCCTCGACGTGGTGGAAATGGCACTGAATCAAGGAACGCTCTACTCTCAGGCCGGTCCAACTTTCCTGCGGGGGAGCAAAAAATCCTTTCCCTCGCCACATGCTAGTAAGATCAAGGATTTTCACGAATTCCAGAAGATTTTCCTGCAGCACCTTCGTCTCCAGATTCCTCTGCTGGTGTCCTTTCTTGTTGGCGGTTATGGTAATATATGGAAGATGTGCCCCAGTCCTCTACTGTCGGTCATGATGAAGGGGTGTATAGAGGCCGGCCGGGATCATTCAAACGGCGGTACGGAGCACCACGATCTGGGCTTCATGTTTGTGGGCGCTGCCAACGCCATCGATTCGCTCTACGCAATCAAGAAGCTCGTGTACGATCCAGTGACCGCGCTGACAACTCTCCCTGACCTCCTGACTTGTCTGAAGTGCGACTGGGGCCACGACATGAAGGAGTATCTCATCGACGTTCGAGCGGGACCGGGAAGGGCTGAGGCACAAGCAACCTTCTTCAGACATCTCCGAGACGTCGCCGTGTCCTTTCCAAAGTTTGGTCACGGAGAAGACGAGGAATTGAAGGAGCTGGCAACCTGGATGATTGAAAATGTCTTGAAGATACTACGGGAAACCTTCGATAATGCTCCACCGGGAGTGAAGGAGATCTTTGAGCGACTGGAGAACGAATATAATCTCCCCGGCAGGCCTTTTGGCTTCGTGGCGCTGCCAGGAATAGGCACGTTTGAGACGTACGTTGGGTACGGGCAGAACAGCGGAGCGTCGGCGGACGGACGGCGGAGCGGACAGCCGATAGCGTCGGACCTGAGCCCGGCACCTGTACCCCAGGACCTGCCCGCAAACCCGGACAGCTGCGATATCTACAGGTAAGTGGAGAACTAAGTGGTGATGATATTTTCTTCTAGTGCTTCATAGCTTACTCTAACAGCGCTCTTCGTAGACTTTTGCTGGTGCCTTAGTACAAAAATGGCATCTTGTCCTAAAGCGTAGGTCCGAATTGTTGTACTCAGAGCGCTGAAATGCTGGGATCTTGGTGTTATCAACTTCGGCCTGTTGTGCGGTTCTGAGGTGGATCTGATGATACGTGAAGACTTCCCGTTGGATAAGCTGACCGAGTTCCTGCGACGCTACTCGGACCTGGACGGCGACATTGGCTCCAACGTCATAACAAGTAAGCTTAATGTCTGCTAAGGCGTGTTGCGTTGGAAAAACACATGGAATTTTGGAGGACTTTGGATCTTTAGACTTACGTTACTATTGACAAGACGTAGATGTATGTAAAAACGATCGATTCAGTAAAAAAGATCGATTCAGTAGCCCCGCGCACCCTCTGCAATACGTCGCACAACCTTTGAAGAACAAAATGGCGGACACGCTCAGCTGGAGTAACGTAGGCCCGCTGTCTTTGTGGCTGCTTAACTGTTTATTTTGTTCTACTATAGGATCGGTAACGTTATGTCTTGTTGGTTACAGGTTGATGTAAATTGGCTTTATGTCATTGGTTATTCACGCATGTTGTTTAATTACTGACATATATATGTTTACTTCAGTGACGTTACCATGACGTGTGTTGTTTACTTCAGTGAGGTTGTCATGACCTATGTTGTTACTTCAGTGAGGTTGTCATGACGTATGTTGTTTACTCCAGTGACGTTACAATGACGTATGTGTTTACTTCAGTGAGGTTGTCATGACGTATGTTGTTTACTTCAGTGACGTTATCATGACGTATGTTGTTTACTTCAGTCACCTGTGCGAAATCCGGAAACCCTTAGAGAGGGCATCCGAGGTCACCGACGCCTACGAGTTAGTGCGCGTGCGNGAAGATACTACGGGAAACCTTCAATAATGCTCCACCGGGAGTGAAGGAGATCTTTGAGCGACTGGAGAACGAATATAATCTCCCCGGCAGGCCTTTTGGCTTCGTGGCGCTGCCAGGAATAGGCACGTTTGAGGCGTACGTTGGGTACGGGCAGAACAGCGGAGCGTCGGCGGACGGACGGCGGAGCGGACAGCCGATAGCGTCGGACCTGAGCCCGGCACCTGTACCCCAGGACCTGCCCGCAAACCCGGACAGCTGCGATATCTACAGGTAAGTGGAGAACTAAGTGGTGATGATATTTTCTTCTAGTGCTTCATAGCTTACTCTAACAGCGCTCTTCGTAGACTTTTGCTGGTGCCTTAGTACAAAAATGGCATCTTGTCCTAAGGCGTAGGTCCGAATTGTTGTACTCAGAGCGCTGAAATGCTGGGATCTTGGTGTTATCAACTTCGGCCTGTTGTGCGGTTCTGAGGTGGATCTGATGATACGTGAAGACTTCCCGTTGGATAAGCTGACCGAGTTCCTGCGACGCTACTCGGACCTGGACGGCGACATTGGCTCCAACGTCATTACAAGTAAGCTTAATGTCTGCTAAGGCGTGTTGCGTTGGGAAAAACATGGAATTTTGGAGGACTTTGGATCTTTAGACTTACGTTACTATTGACAAGACGTAGATGTATGTAAAAACGATCGATTCAGTAAAAAAGATCGATTCAGTAGCCCCGCGCACCTTCTGCAATACGTCGCACAACCTTTGAAGAACAAAATGGCGGACACGCTCAGCTGGAGTAACGTAGACCCGCTGTCTTTGTGGCTGCTTAACTGTTTATTTTGTTCTACTTTAGGATCGGTAACGTTATGTCTTGTTGGTTACAGGTTGATGTAAATTGGCTTTATGTCATTGGTTATTCACGCATGTTGTTTAATTACTGACATATATATGTTTACTCCAGTGACGTTACAATGACGTATGTTGTTTACTTCAGTGAGGTTGTCATGATGTATGTTGTTTACTCCAGTGACGTTATAATGACGTATGTTGTTTACTTCAGTGAGGTTGTCATGACGTATGTTGTTTACTTCAGTGACGTTATCATGACGTATGTTGTTTACTCCAGTGACGTTATCATGACGTATGTTGTTTACTCCAGTGACGTTACAATGACGTATGTTGTTTACTTCAGTGAGGTTGTCATGACGTATGTTGTTTACTTCAGTGACGTTCTCATGACGTATGTTGTTTACTTCAGTCACCTGTGCGAATCCGGAAACCTTAGAGAGGGCATCCGAGGTCACCGACGCCTACGAGTTAGTGCGCGTGCGCCAGGGCGGCTGGACCGAGTTCTTCTAGCTGCCTTCTAGCTGCATTCTAGCTGTCTTCTAGCTGCCTTTTGTGTCTCTAGCTGCTTGCGTTGGAACTGTAGGGGCGTTTTTCGCAGGTGCAAAAATTTGCTCCAAGGGCGCTTTTTGGTACTGCAGCCGACCTTCCGAAGCAAAAAAAGCGCCCTTGAAGCAAATTTTTGCACCGGCAAAAACGCCTTTGCAGGTCCAACGCAAGCAGCTAGAGACACCAAATTTACGTCACTTCTTCCTTACTTTAACAGCTTTCTACCACATAAAAATCATGACTGTAGCATGTTTAGAACAGGAGAAACAAAGCCCGGAAGGTTGGCTGCAGTACCAAAAAGCGCCGCTAGGGGGCTCCAAAAGTCAAATCAAGTGGCCCGCGTACTTTTTCAAAAGAGTAATGTCTCATGAGTATTTGTACCAAGTTTGGTGCTTGTATCACAAAGTGAAAGATTCCTCCAAAATTTGATGTTATCTGCCCCACTATGTGCACCAAGGACAGCTGCGTCGACGCATGTACGTCCACCCGTGATGCATCTAAGTTCACCCGTGACGCATGGACGTCATCCCGCTACGTATGGACGTCCTCCTCGCGACGCATGGACGTCCTTAGCTTACCACGCCAACAGAATTATGCAATATGCAAACAACGTGAAGTACTGTATGATGTCGCTAATACACAATTGCCTACAAGGTCATATACAAGAGATGTAGTAAAGCATGAAAGGTCAGAATTACCATATTACATATAGTGGTAGGTGTACAAGATAGCATAGTCAAGAATTTCCTTGTAGTACTGAGAGGAACTGTCTGTTGCAGATCTTATAACCAGTATGGCAATATAGGGTGGGGTGACGGAAGGATCAAATGGTGTATGGAAAAAAAGTATAGTTAAGGAGACAGATTGGTTTAAATGGTTAAGCAGATTGTCAAAGTGTTTGTTGTTTTATAATTTTAATTTTATTGGAGTAGTCATCGCTAAAACCAAAAATAAATTGTTTTGATAGTATAGTTAGTTTTATATCAACTGAGACTTGACACAAGGGACTTGGCATATAAAGGATATTATAACCAGTACAGCAATATGTGGGTGAGGCGATTTAGCCTAGTAAAATGCCCATTCGGGTGTTTGTGAAGCTATAGATTGTTCTCTAGCCTAAGACGTGACTATTTTCATGGGGTTAAGTTAACCAGAATTGTACGAGTTCACTGCTATTTGAGCAGTCATCATAATTAGCACAGACTGGAAACTAGAGTTCCACGATCTCATACCTTCGCCAAATGATGTTAGCTTTTATGAATAAGAACTTCTATACAATGTATTAATCCCCCTGATTATGAAAATAGGATCCGCAATTGCATGAATTATATCTGTTGATCAAAATCTCCACCAACAGTCTTATTTTAACCCTACCTAGACCAGGGGGGGGGGCTAAAAGTGCCCGCGGCAACTTTGATGTCACCTAGCGTCTGAACAGCTAGCCGTAGAACGGCCAAACTTGGTGACTTTTCCTAGAATATTGTTGGCAACAATTCTCTGTCATTGGAATAAGAAAATAATTTTTTGTGTTGCCATGGCAACGGGTTTCTGACAGGCATTTGGCCAATAGAATCACATTAATGACGTCATAATGACGTCATATTACGTCATAACGACATAAAAATTGTAGATATGATAAATTTTTACTAGTACACCATTCTCTGAAAATTTGGTGGTCATACGACATACCGTTCGCGAGTTCTTAGGGGGGGTCAAAAGAGCCCCCCCCCGGTCCCCCCATGTCAAAAAAAGCCCGGTCTAGGTAGGGTTAACAAAGAACGCCATTATAGCATTTCCTCATATATTATGCAAATGAGGTCCTTATTTGAATAAGTTATGTTAAATTATGTTCACCTTCACTAAACTTCAAACACCCCAAGTATAAAATTCCAGGCAGTTACCACTATGCAATTATAACATTTTCTCATTAATTATGCAAATTAAGTCTTCATTTGCATAATCGATATCTGCCTGTGTTTCTCTCGTTGTCAATAACATATGTCGCAAGCTTGAACTTCCTATCATGGAATGCAGCTGATTAATAGAATTTCCTCATTAATTATGCAAATTACATCCATATTTGCATAATTGTAACATCATTATGTCAAGCATTACTCAAGCTACCTAAATACAAAAAATCATGATGATCCATCAATCGTTTCTTGAGTTATCCTCCTTTAAACATTTGTCCTTTAAACCCCCTGCAGTTCTAGAGCAAGCAACTAGGGGGCCCAAACTCACGTCACTTCCCCAGCACAAGAGCTACCTGCCATCCAAATTTCGTCACCCTAGCATGTCTAGATCATGAGATATCAAAACCGGAAGTTCAGCTGCAGTACCATGACAAGCCGCCAGGGGGCCCAAAATCTAATCAGTTCGAGCTCTCATCAAGACCTACCCACCTACCAAATATAAAGATAATTCATCTAAGCTTTCTCGAGTTATGCTGTTGACAGACACACAGACACACACACAGACACACACACAGACACACGGCCAGGAAAACATAACCTTCTCCGATTCTTGGCGAAGGTAATTAAGGGACATATGAATGGTTGAAACTATAATCTATACATGGGTGTGGTGAAATAAATCTAAAATTTCTTCAGTTTTGCGTTTGTGTTCTGTATCTGTATCAGTATTACCCTTCGGTGCTAACACACACTGGCTTCGCAGGCACGCGGCGCGGCGGCAACTGGCTATGTTGCACCTAAGCTTTAAACATCTAAATCTAAACATTATTCAAGGCTATTCAATGATAATGCCCCTACTGAATTGTACGGCATACATTCCTTATTCCTGAAGTAACCCTGCGCGTGGAAGAAGCCACTAAAACTGCCATAAACATCAGGACACGTTAATCTTTTATAATCACAACTCAAAACCTACAGAAGATATAGCATTTACCACTTATGTCGTTTGTGACTAAGAAACAGTAAAGTGTGCACACGAAAACGGCCACTTGATAGCATGTTAAAGGTTAAGAAGCGCCATCTGACGAGTTATTTACTAACTGCAACTTTTATCAGTTCAAGGTTACCCCCGGACAGCACCTGAAGTAGACTCTATGATTTAAACTGCCACTACCAATCATTAAATCAATCATAATATTTAGCTTACAGATAAAACGTTGTGTACGGGATGTGCTAAGAAAACTCAATTCTTTGATCATGACAGGTACAAGTCAAAGTTTACTATCAAAAGCAATGAAGAAAATGCACCATTTATCAAACTCATGCAAAATATGTTTTGTCATCTTTAGATGCCCTAGAGTAACTATCTAAAGCCGTCTTTAAGTGAAATCACCCAAGCCGCGATTCGGGTAACTCATGACATTCCTCACATCTGGTCCACGTGCCACAAACCGTGTCCGATCACAATTCGTTTGAGCTACATTTATTGCTGTTTGATGATAACACGCAAGGTGGCGTGTTATTAATGTCAGAGGTCAACGAACTGCTTGCTGAGGCCCCGCTCCCAGCGTATCTTGGCCGAATGCCGACGTGGTCCCGCCAGAGGCGGTGAAGCTCGCCCTACAACTGACACATTATTTGACAATTACTGCTCTTTAAGTTGCTGCCACGTAAAAGTTGGTATTGCATATAAATAAAGAAATATCACCCCGTAATCCATGACCAGGCGAAGTTACATTGAAATCACATTGCGTTCAGACGACCCTCTTCAGACGCAAATCGCGATGCGGGAAAACCGATTCGAAACCACCTCTAGAAGTGGCTTGGGAGCAAGGCGCTTTCAATGTGATTTCGTTCAGATGGAGCCACTTGAAACCGGCTTCGGGGTAAACCACATGTAAAACCGCCTTGGGTGATTTCACTTAAACACGGCCTAATAATCACCATCATCCTACATCTGCATTCAGCCCACAATCTAATGATTGTTAACTTTATATCAGCATGGTCTATAACATAGACCATGAATTAGATTAACATTCAATGTTGGCCTTATTAATAGTGAATTTATTGAGTTATTGTTAGGAAAAGATATTAAAGCTGCTCCTCTCACATATATGAATTACTGTCTAGCTGCTTCTGCCATCTGAATTCTCTTCATCCTCTCCTCGGCTGTCTCTTCCTTCCTGGTCGCCACACGGCAGATGAACACGGCCAGGAAAATGACGACCACTCCTCCCGTGACGCCAAACACCGCCCAGAAGGGCCACACGGTACCTGAAGGTAGCAAAACACAGTCTTTACCTTTTCCAATTTTCTATTAATCCTTCCCCATTCCCAGGATGCATTGCGAGTGGGGGTAAAATCTCCCAGGTTGCATAGCGCAGGAAGGTATTCTGTTGACGTTAAACAGCTTGTTTTTCTGTGCGTTTTAAGTTGTTAAGGGGGCATTTTATTCCCAACATTAATTGACTTATTATGTGTTCTTTTTAACATGGGACTTGGTTTACAACGTTACAGTTGCAACAGTATACTGTCTGTCAAAAAAGGAGATTAGTTACAACTATTTAATATTTGTCATCAAGGGAGCAACCTTTTATTGTTTAAATTTCTGTCATCAACGAATGTAAAAACACAACAAGAACACATTATTCAGATCACATGGCGCTATGCAAAATGGACTTTTTACTCCCAGGCGCAATGCATCCTACGAATGAGTTTACGGAGCCCAAAGTAAGAAGGTTAGACGCTATATGTATAGTAGGGTGCACAAGCAAGTTACAAAAAAAAATACATGTTTACGTTCGGGTTACAACCTACAAAATATGCGAAAATCAGCTCAAGTTTGCCTGCTCGTTTTCCTGTAAAACCCTCTTTTATACGGCGCATTGCGAGAGTCATGTGAACTGCAGATGACGCACAGTACTAGGCCATAGGATCCACCGGGCGCCAATCGACTCCGGCCGAACGAACATTCTAGATCTAATTCAAATTATACGATCGCAATCCTGATTTCCTCTACAATTCGGCACAGTTTTCACCTCGCTGCCCTATATGGAAGAATCTCTGCAGCTTTGTTAAGTACTTGTCCCGCACGACGTACGTGCACCCGAACTACATGTACTTTAATTGTCAATGCAACCTTACCCTGTTCCATGATGTAGTCCAGTAAAGTCATGTCGGGAGTGTCTGTGGTGACACCGGTACCGGGTTCTGGAATGGCGGTGGGGTTCATCACTGAAACAGTGCGACATTCAAACAATCAAAAGGCTGAATGTACTTGTTCCAGCCAGCCCAATTTTTTTTGTTATCTCAATTTTGTTGACATTACGTCATGTCGACCGCATAGAGTGAGGTATTATCCTAGAGGAAAGAAAATTTTTGAAAACTTTACCCAATAAAAACGCCATTTCCTGTATTTTGAAGGATAGATTCGCTGGTACGACTAAGCTTAGTTTAATGACATCACTCTTCGTATATTAACCCTCTGATTTTTGTTTGTCAAAATGGCAGATTGGGTAATTCTTTTTATACATGTACAAGTATAAACACGTAAACAAGTCTAGAAATTACCCTTGTCTAGAAAGGCAATGTAGTCCGTAAAGCAATGTTATGAGGAATCCCTTACGCCACTTTTGGGACGTTATAGGAACTCACTATTCCTATATTGAATAAGGAATAGGCCTAGAAATTACATTTGTCTAGAAAACAAAAGACAGCGTTAATTATTATTATTACTTTATAAGAACAAAGTCATACGGAATATCTTACATCAGTATTGGGACGTTATAATGCCCTTCTAAATTACGTTCTAGTATAGAAGTCTATACAACTAACCCCAAAATGGAGCCAAAAATCTCATCTCTGGAAAATCTTTCAGCTCCATTCTCTAGGAATCAACCTGATCTTAGGACTATGTTTATGATTATGTTACTTTATGGAATGTTACCTCACTTTATTTCCGACTATAACTAACTATAGATAGAAGTTATGAAATGTTACCTCATTTTTCCCGACTATAAATAAGATACTATCTGGATTTTACTTTGCCTATCACTTGCTTTATTGCACACGTTAGTGCCACAGGTATAAAGGTAAATCAAGTTCAAAGACTACCCTCCCCAGTGGTCCCCTAATCCTTCTAATTCCAATTTTCTTTCACCCAAATCAGTGGGTATGAAGCCTTACCTATCCCACGCCAAAACTGACAAAAAGACACCAAATTGAAAATAATTTTACGACGTCTCACCCTCATGCTCAGCGGGAACCCTACACGCATGCGCTGATAGAAACCCATGTCCTTACCTGTGACGTTAGAAGGTGCCTGTCGTTTGATTCTGACGTCATAGTCGACCATCTCGGCGTTTCCCTGAGGAAAAGTCTGTGTATGAACGTCATAGTCTACTTTTCAAGTTTTACATTTGGACATGTGTAGCTGTTTCTTCCTCAAACCAACTGTGCGTCTGTAGCACCACACAGGTGCCTCAACAATGACACGTCTTGCCACTTCCACCGAAGCAAATCACTTTTTCTTTCTCCATTCTCCACCTCTTAGGGGGAAGTTCCTTGCTGAAAGCTTCTTTCCAAGAACAACATCACTTTGGAATAAGCTACCACGTGATTGCTTCCCCTATGAGTATAACCTTAAACTCTTTAAGTCTAAGCTCAACAAACATCTGTCCTCACTGGCTGTACTGTAACCCAAAACAGTGTCTCCCATGGGCCTTGTTTTGTGGTAACCGATGAAGTAAAAAAAAAGGTGTTATAGACTAAAGCCTGGGCAACCATAATCCATAGTACTAATTATGAAATCAATATAAAATGAATTCTTTATAACATAGTAATCAATAGTACTAATTATAGATAAAAATGAATTCTTATAACATAATGTACACGTTTCAGTTTTTTTTAAAAGATCACTAAGGGAAAATGTGTTTTGTGCTTGTGTTGCAACTTGCAATATTTATGGCTTATATTGAGTGAAATAGTGACTGGTCAAATGCTGTACATGTACTTCAATAAAAAATCCACATCAACTAAAAAAGGACCTGTTAAATTTGATTACCTGTTTAGTTCCATCCTTCTGCTTCCGTGCGCCACCTAGCGATGTTCCTTCACATCCATGGAGCAGGCCTGAATATATGTAGAAGAGAATTTGCAGTAATAAATTGAATGTAGAAATGGGAAGATAAAAAAAAACATCAAGACCAGAGGATCTGTCCATTATATCCTGATGAGATCGGCATTTTATTATGGATTGTCCACTGTATGGTAATAAACGCACGAAGTTATTCAACCTTCTTTGCGCCCCCCCTCCCCAAAAAACATTTTTTTTGTGCTTTGTTGATTAAACTTTTCGTTTCATAAGACTGCCCGGCCGGGCCGCGGTTTGGAAATGTGACCTCAGCCCAAGGAAGGCACCGCCTTCTGTAGTACACTTTTGCTTTTAACGGAATTTTGTTACATTTTATGCTATAGATAATTTTAAAATCAAACTTCATCCTACTGTGTACAAATAGGGAAATGTATCATCGAAAGTTTAGACCTCATGCTAAGTATACTAATATTATAAGTGACACGCCAACGTCAGCATGCTGATTTATCCATAGTCTTGTACGTAGGTCAATTCTTTTGTACCCACGTGTCTGCCAATTGCCAATGAACAATTAGAGGTGAATTGTTTTCGCCTTCCGCTGCATTTGAGGAGCGATATTCACAAATCCTCTCCCACAAAGGTAGTTTCATAAACATGCATCGCCCCTTTTTTAAATGGTCAGGATAAGATTGTCGTAAACACAAAGGGAGCCATTATTAGTGAAAACGCCATGTTTGTTTTGGACTTTGAACCTCTGTGAACATTACTGTGCTACTGAGTGCAAATGTTAGTACTGTCTACTGAATGCGTTACTGCCCCCAACATGCCAGCAAGCTGACAGCAAGGACAACATGTAATGTCATTCAGACTTCTGGAAAAGAAATTCCCTCAAATTTCCGAACTTATTATATTGCGCTGGTAACATATACCACTTGAGAAACACTTAGATACCGATTACATGTTTCAAAAGATTGGGAGAGAATGAACAACCCCCCTCAAAAACGTTACCACAACTTCTATGTACAATGTAGAATGTACATTTTGTTTAAAAGACTTACCCAGCATCCAAACGGCCATGAAAACCTGCAAACATGCTACACGGAACAGGCGGTGTGCAGCCATTTTGTTGACCTTGGGATAGCTAACAGCTCCGTGCTGGCAAACTGCAGCGAAAAAAAACACGTCATAAACGCACACAGGGTCCTTGGTTAAGTAAACATCCCGCTTGGGCAGCCCTTTCACTCATGGCACGTAGGGGCTTCTGCGTGTACATAGGTGACTTATTTATGACGCCTTATCATCCATGTGGCCTTTATAAACTGTACGTACAAGGGAAGGGAGACGCCCCAAATCACAAGACACATCGTTTCTCACTTTTCTGCGTCTGTATCTGTATAGCCCGTATAACCGCCCCTCGACGTACACACCAGCTTTGCAGGCTTTACATTATACCGAACGACTTGTTAAACCTATCTAGGTTGTACCCTTGGGAAAGGCACATTACACGACTTTCCTCACTTTACCCAGGTGTGAATGAGTACCTAACTTCGGTTGGGGAAAGCCGTATTGAGGTCACCTTGTGAAAATGGCAACATCGAATGGCAGCCGCACAGACCCTTGCGACAGTTCCACAAAAATGTGTATTATGTGTATTATTATGTGTATTATTACCATTTGTATCATGTGATTGTAAACCCAACATCAATTCAGCGCCATAAGGCTGCGATTGCACGGGTGATGGGTGGAGTGAATAAAGGGGCAAACATCTGGGCGAGTCAGATGATCGAACCCGGGACCTCTTGGTTCCGAGTTGAACTAGCTGACCTTTACGCCACGTGATTCGTAATACAATTGTGATATACATACTATAAGGTATTGTTACAACGTAGTGTTAGCTGTGATTTATTATCTTCGTGACAATATTTTTTCATTTGGGACCGTTTCACACCATTTCACGGTGTCAAATTTGGGCCCAAATATTCCAACCTTTTTTTGAACCGAATCATGTTTAATATGACGTCATTCGAACCGAACTTTCGTTCGATCTGGGGTCACCCGCGGTCATTTGCAGTAAACTCGCAACAACCCGCTACTTCAAGCCGCTTTTTTTTTCACATGGGTTCCGCCTAACAGTAAAAAATCCCTTTTTTCACAATTTTGGGACAGTACATCTATGCCGCCATTTTATAGTGGATATTAAACATGTAACGATGTCACTGCCGTCATTTTTTTTTATTTACTTCAGAATTCACCTCAAAACAAGGCTCGTGAGAGCCACTTACATGTTTTGGGTTACAGTGATGACTGCGTGGTCAGATATTTGTTCACCCTTGATTTAAACCGTTGGAGGTTGTAATTAGCGGTGAAACATTCACGGGGAAGCTTGTTCCACAGTGAAGTGGTTCTGGGGAAGAAACTGTCAGCATGAAATGTTCTAGAATAAACATTTAACGCCCGTGATGGTTAATGATTTCAGCGCTGTAAAAAAACATTAACGTATATGCAATTCGGGACAAGAGAGTCCCTGTGAAACTTTTTTTTTATTTCTAAGAAAATATTTACCGTCGTTGTGGGTGACCTTGAAAATCTTAATTTTTGTTAACGCGGATTTGAATAATCCCATCCACTTACTCACGCTGCCTGACATGCTTGCAAATATGGTATTTCAATCGTAATAAAAACAAATTCAATTTACCTCAAAAATGTTTTAAATTGTAGACAAGACAAAAATCTTGATTTGTGTCGGGTAGTTTTTAAAAGATGGCGGCATGCAGAAATTATTGGCCTTGGCAGTTGAAAATTGCATTTTCGGCTTTAGAAAAACTTTGAAATTTTGAAAGTTTGAAATTTAAAAAATCTGTCCGACTCAAATTTTAATTTTGTTATAATGTTTTATTAAAAGCAAAAACTGAGGATTTTCTTGGGAATATGGGGCCGGTTTAAATCAAAACTTATAATATCGATATGTTCTAGAATAAACATTTAACGCCCGTGATGGTTAATGATTTCAGCGCTGTAAAAAAACATTAACGTATATGCAATTCGGGACAAGAGAGTCCCTGTGAAACTTTTTTTTTTATTTTTAAGAAAATATTTACCGTTGAGACTGGTTTCACGGAAGCCGCGCGCGGAACCCCTGGTAAAGTCTAGGTCACAATTCAAAAAGGGACCCGCTCGGCGCGTTTTTGGCCTGTTATTTGCACTACCGAACGGGACCTGGACGAGACTGGCGGGTTTCCCGACGGCTGCCGGCCTATTTTTGGCCCCGCGCGGTCGCCGAATTGACTTTAACTCAAACTTAAAATTGTCGCTACAGTTGCAATAAAGCAAATGTGTTGGTCGTAACCATAGTAAAATTGCAACACAACGGGTACACAGTGATCAAATTTTCAACGACCGTTTTCCACCAGTTATGTATGTGTGTATTCGTGTGTGTGTGTTTGTTTGTTTGTGTGTGCGTGCGTGAGAGAGAGATGGTGTGTTTGTTTGTAAGTGTGTGTGTGTGTTTGCAAACAAACTTAATAAAGAGGGCTTCAGATGGATTTCAGTCCCATTGCAGCTTGAGAAAAATCTAATCATGTCCCCAGTTACCATTTTGTTTTTTTGTTACGGGTTCTTCAGGCAATAAGGGAGTCTACTTTAAAAACTATGCAATACATATCCCACCTGACTCCCAAAGTGTGCCACTCTTCTACAGTACCAAAACAGATAGCTGATTATTCCTGATCGATGCTGATCAAATTAAAAAAAAAAACAATGTACTGAAGCACACTCAAATGGAGTCAAGAAGATTCTATAAGGTAAACGGTACACTTCTGCCTATAATGAAGTGACCGAGGGTGAAGTTTACATTTTGGCCGTTGTTGGAGCTGATGAGGCTAAACGTTGTCTTCTACGGAGAATATTAATAAATAAAAGAGCAAAACTGTCTGATTTACAGTGTAAATGCTAAGCTCTAGTTATTACTGCTTTTGCTGCATCCGGATATGTTCATGTCTCCAAGATGTGTATTGCACCAAACTGTCTTATTGCGACAACAGAACTTCAATGTACTTCTCGCTATTGACTAACGGTTGGCAGTAACAAAAACACATTCTCATATACCACAGCTGACTTTGAAAACCTTGTTATTAATTGTGGTTTTAAAAATTGAATATGATAATGTCGGCAAACGTGTTACTCCTAGGATGTCCACGGTAATTTACGACAGAAGTAGAGGCTGGGACATTTAGCTGATGATGGTGACGACCAGTTGCGATAGCAATGTCGCCAATGAATAGCCTATCATTTCATTTTTCTACAAATAACATTAAAGGATATGACACAATAATATGAAACGCACGGCATTTTTAAAAGATTTAATACAAAGATTTTGCACATGCACATTGATCCGTTTATCATTGATACTAACGGTAAAAGAGTGATCATAAAACAGTAAATGTCTCAGTGGACTTTTGCATTTTTTAGACATATGATTGTCCAGTTAAAAGTTACTTATTATTTAATGTCTGAAGTATTTCATAACGAAAAGTTTTAGATGAAATATGTATATGTATAACAAGACAATTTGTATAGCTGCAATCTTTGAATATTCATTGGTTCAAGACAGGTTTGACTAAGTAGAAGATTGGTTAAATTTGCAAACATTACGTATTGTAATCGTTAATATTAATAAATTGTGCTGACATTGGACACAATCCTGAAAAAAAAGTCTGTGTCATTTTAATAGTACCTCGACTAAATATAAATGCAATTCTGCACTGATGTAATATGTATTGAAAACGAAATAACATGTTATCATGATGTAATAATCGCACACATACATGTGATTGTCTACTTCGTATTGTAAACTCCATAAAGTTTTAAAATGCACTATTCAGACCGGGCTTTTTTGGGCATGCTCAGACGGGGGGGGGGTAGCTTTTGAGGTTCACCCCCTGTAACTCAACAACCACTTATCGTAGGGCCACTAAATTTTCAGAGAATGGTGTAGTAATTAAATCAGTCCATAACAACAATTTTTGTTGTGTAATCATGATGGTAAATGACGTCATTATGACGTCAATTATATGCTTTTTTGGGGTAAAACCATAAAAAATTGTTTTTCCGTAAAACTCAAAGGAACACAACCAACCAACCAAACAAAAAGTGACAATGATAGAATACAGATGCCTGCTAAGACTTGCGCTGCCCCTGGCAACAACACTGAGGTCTAAATGACTTCTTTATGACGTCATGCATAATTAAACTGTCGGCCATCTTGGGTTGGAAATTTTGAATTTTGAATTTTTTTTTTATGAAACAGCTTCAAAACGCAACGCAAATGGACTAAAATGCTCATATGAACGTTTTATGTGAAAAAACACGGAGTTGATACAAAAATTAGTGAAAAAAACACGGTTACACAAGAGCTAATTATATGATACACCAAAAAGCAGTTACTCAAGCAACTGGATGTGATTTGGAAACAAAAACCAAAATCATTTTGCTTGAGTAACTGCTTTTTGCTTTTCAACGACGTAGCTAATTATATGCTAATTATAGATTTTGACCGATGACGTCATCAAATTACCACAAATTATGAATATTTAATGAGGGAAATTATTTAAATTATATAAAATGTTATTAATGTTAAAAAGGAAGTGTAATTAAAAAATAGAGTGTAATTAAAAATAGAACCTATAAAATTTAGTTTAAACCAAAATTACTGATTTTTCGAAAATTTACCTGTCAGAAACCTGTTGCCATGGCAACATAAAACATCACGAACTTATCTTATTAATATGAAATTGTTGCCATATATTTTTTAAGGAAAAGTCACCAAATTTGACTATTCTAGCACGAACCGTTTTGGCGGCCTCAAAAGCCCCCCCCCCCCGTCTGAATAGGGTTAATGTCTGAAGTGGTTTATAACGAAAAGCTGTAATTTTCGTATATATATATCACAATTTGTTTAGCTCCAATTACAAGTGTTTGAATATATTAGTTATGAGATATTAGTTTGAATATATACATCTTAAGGCAGGGTAAACAAAAGTAGAATGTTGTTATGAATTGCAAATATTAGATATTCTAATAGTAAAATTTGATCGCTAAATTGTACTAAAATCGTACAAAATCTTACATAGAAATATTGTCTGTGTTTTTTTTGTGTCTTGATTAAATATGAATGCTTATGATAAAGTGCTGTTGTAATACGTATTGAATG